AGAAAATTCTTTAGGAGAAGAACAATGTACCATTTTGCACTTTGGACAATTGTTCAAAGAAATTTGAGACATGAAAATAATTTCCTCCATCCCCTTCTAATTCCTGAGAAGGAAAGAGCAGTATTGCTTGCTAAGTATTGTATTAATATTTATTGTGACTAATGCGTGAAAAAATTTAGGACACTTCTGCTGACTTTTGCTAGAGGTGCTTTTGTATGTACACTTATGAACACTTTATAGATCATAGAGACCAACCTTACTATTTTATATTTTTGTAGATGTTTATAGATGTTGTCTCTTTTCTATTGATCACACACTATGATATATTCGACCTAGAGTCAGGAGCAGAACACCAAAGTTTATTACTGTTTCTCAAAGTATGACCTGCTCCGTAATGGTCCACTTTAGAAGTAGTTTGTGGAAAATGTATGACTATTCATGTTGTAGTTATCTTTTTCTATAAATACAATCATAGAGGCTTAGAATTTTTGGAACCAGAATGGAGTGCTGCCCAGTAAACCAGAACCCAGAGACGAGATGCCCTGGCTGCAGTCACGAAGCTGAGCTGGCACTAAGAATCAGGTTTCCGGATTTTGAATCCAAAGTTATCTCAATGCACCAGGCCTTTCTTATCACCATCCTTTTGCTACCAATTAGACTACAAGCTCCCTGAGGACAAAGCCCAGGACCTCAGGAAGCACCAGCTTAGGGGCTGGGTAGCCAGCAGAGAGGGGACAGATGGCAGTCCCTCACCTTCATGAAATGCAAATGCAACCTTGCTATGTTGCACAAAGGCGTTAGGCCAGTTGGCTCTCTCTGGCCTCCTGCACTAAAGCCAGCATCCCTGAGACTCAAGCTGTGTTCTGCTATACCCGGATGTCCAGTCAAACTTGAGTGATGGGAGTGCCTGGGGACGCTATCCTCTGCTGTCCCCGAATCATTCGGAAGAAGAAATGCCATGTCGGCCCCCCAGAGTGCCTGCCTCATGGTTCTCATCAATAAGCCTCAGGCCCCTCATCCTCATTTTAAGCCACAGACAGCACAGATCCCTGCTTGCTGGGACAGCTCTGTCCTCCTTTCCTCTCAGTGTTTGCAAGTGCCCAGCTTGCAGGGGGCTGCTGGCTCTGCTCCTAGAAATGGAGACCTGCTGAGTAGCACTTCAAGGTCTTCTGCCCTTAGTGAAGGTTTGGAAAGATGTTCAAAAACTACTCCTAGTAAATTCTTGAAGGGCTTGAGAGGTAACTGCCCCCCACCGCTTAGGTAGTATTCTGCTACCTGCATCTCTCAGCATGTGGGCAGGAAACTTTATCCTGGTCCTAAGTAGCAGGCTGGTTCTGCTTCCCACTTCAATCCCACCAGCCTCTGGCCTGCCTCTGCAGGGCCTTGCTCTGCTCACTCCTGCCTGGGCTTGGTCTCTACAAAAAAGGTCAGAGCCTTTGTTCTTGCTTGGCCTGAGCTGCTCCCTGATAACCCCCTCTGCCCTTCCAGGTTTCCACGGCTCCCAGAGTGCTCCCAGGCCAGTGCAGTTGGTCAGTGTATTCTAACCCTGCGGGGGAGTAGAGATGGGAAGATTTCATGCAATTTTTTTTTTCAATAAGGGTGATTTGTTTAATGTGTATCTAAGACTGACTTGATCTTTAAAGGTCAAAGAATTTTTACATAAACTCACATGTCATCAAAAGTGCTTTGTCAGATGTGATTTTTTTTTTATTTGAAAAGTATAATCACTGTGGTATGACCCAACTCACCAACTTATACACCACTCTCCATCATCACAGAGACCCCGATAGCCTTCCAGGTGATTCCTCCCGCAGCCCCAAGGGGCCTTCATTCTCTAGTATGCAGAAATGCAGAAGTCAGAGGCCCTGAGTAGCCCACCAAGGTGGGTGAAGGATCAGAGGGTCAGGCTGTCTACCCTTCCCTGAGAGAAGCAAGTTGAAAGAGGTGGAGGAGGCAGAGTGGCAAGGCTGGGAGAAGAAGAGATGACAGCCCGGAGAAGCTGGGACCTTTGAGTTCCCAACAGAGGCTATGCCTGGGCCTCCCTTGGTTACACACAGCCCCCTCGCACTTGCCAACCCCTGTAACCGAAGACTTAAGGTATCATTTGCACCGCAAAGTATGGTTAGATCATCCAAGAGGAAGGAAGAAGGGCTTCTTTGTTATTGCCACAGCGGTAACTGCCCCCCACCGCCTAGGTAGTATTCTGCTACCTGCATCTCTCAGCATGTGGGCAGGGAACTTTATCCTGGTCCTAAGTAGCAGGCTGGTTCTGCTTCCCACTTCAATCCCACCAGCCTCAGGTAACTGCCCCCCACCGCTTAGGTAGTATTCTGCTACCTGCATCTCTCAGCATGTGGGCAGGAAACTTTATCCTGGTCCTAAGTAGCAGGCTGGTTCTGCTTCCCACTTCAATCCCACCAGCCTCTGGCCTGCCTCTGCAGGGCCTTGCTCTGCTCACTCCTGCCTGGGCTTGGTCTCTACAAAAAAGGTCAGAGCCTTTGTTCTTGCTTGGCCTGAGCTGCTCCCTGATAACCCCCTCTGCCCTTCCAGGTTTCCACGGCTCCCAGAGTGCTCCCAGGCCAGTGCAGTTGGTCAGTGTATTCTAACCCTGCGGGGGAGTAGAGATGGGAAGATTTCATGCAATTTTTTTTTTCAATAAGGGTGATTTGTTTAATGTGTATCTAAGACTGACTTGATCTTTAAAGGTCAAAGAATTTTTACATAAACTCACATGTCATCAAAAGTGCTTTGTCAGATGTGATTTTTTTTTTATTTGAAAAGTATAATCACTGTGGTATGACCCAACTCACCAACTTATACACCACTCTCCATCATCACAGAGACCCCGATAGCCTTCCAGGTGATTCCTCCCGCAGCCCCAAGGGGCCTTCATTCTCTAGTATGCAGAAATGCAGAAGTCAGAGGCCCTGAGTAGCCCACCAAGGTGGGTGAAGGATCAGAGGGTCAGGCTGTCTGCCCTTCCCTGAGAGAAGCAAGTTGAAAGAGGTGGAGGAGGCAGAGTGGCAAGGCTGGGAGAAGAAGAGATGACAGCCCGGAGAAGCTGGGACCTTTGAGTTCCCAACAGAGGCTATGCCTGTGCCTCCCTTGGTTACACACAGCCCCCTCGCACTTGCCAACCCCTGTAACCGAAGACTTAAGGTATCATTTGCGCCGCAAAGTATGGTTAGATCATCCAAGAGGAAGGAAGAAGGGCTTCTTTGTTATTGCCACAGACCACTCAACAAAAACCTCTTCCCCAAAAGATCAACAATCCAAAGATAGCTCGATCCCCCATCCCTCCCTTAATACAATACAAGAGGAAGAGATTTTAGGAAATTTTTTATATCCTGGCAAGGTCACAGTTTCCTGCAGTACCCAGAGGCTGGTACACAGACTACAATCATAAACTTGCCAGTCCCTTTCACCCTGTACAGTGTCAGTGGCAGCAATGGGGGCGAGGAGAAAAGCCTGAGTCTGAGCCCGACAGGGCAAGCCCCAGTGGTCTATACCTTGTTCTTAAGGATCCCATGGAGGGTAAGACAGCATTGAAGAAGGTCCCCAAACATCAAGAGCAGTCACTCTCTGTGCTACAGTGTGCATTACTGCCAGAAATGAGGACCCAACCAGCAACGTTCCAAAGAAAAGAAGCTTCCACCAGAGTGAATCTGTTATAACCTGCAAGGATGGGGCCCCTGGACTAAGTAGGAAACAGGCCCCCTGCCTCTACGTGAACACCCTGATGCCGCCTCCTCCCTGCTCACTTACACACGCAGCCTGGCTTCTTAGCCGACCACTGGTTATTCTTTTGGCACGTGATTGCCTTCTGCCCCACCAGCTCAAAGGCAGGCTGGCACTCAAACTTGAGTGTATCGCCATGGTGAAAACGGGAGCCTTCCCTCCGGCCATAGGCAGGTATGCCAGGGTCACCGCAACTGCCCTGCTCGATCTCTGAAAGACAAGAAGATGAGAAAACAGAGACAAAGGTGACTTCGTACCTCTCTTGGAGCTGGAGGTCCACATTATGTGCTCTGCTGCCCTTCCACCGTGAGTCACACTCAGAGCGACACTAGCAGGACACAGAGTGCTCTAGATGGCTGGATGTTTTCATTTGGGTGAGGTGGGTATATGTTCTTTGTAGTTACCTGTTCCAGGAGCTAGCAAGTCCCAAAGTTGAGAGACTTCCTTACTGCACTTGACCTGGCATCTGGATTACTAATGCCCTTCCCTGAGAGAAGCAAGTTGAAAGAGGTGGAGGAGGCAGAGTGGCAAGGGCTGGGAGAAGAAGAGATGACAGCCCGGAGAAGCTGGGACCTTTGAGTTCCCAACAGAGGCTATGCCTGTGCCTCCCTTGGTTACACACAGCCCCCTCGCACTTGCCAACCCCTGTAACCGAAGACTTAAGGTATCATTTGCGCCGCAAAGTATGGTTAGATCATCCAAGAGGAAGGAAGAAGGGCTTCTTTGTTATTGCCACAGACCACTCAACAAAAACCTCTTCCCCAAAAGATCAACAATCCAAAGATAGCTCGATCCCCCATCCCTCCCTTAATACAATACAAGAGGAAGAGATTTTAGGAAATTTTTTATATCCTGGCAAGGTCACAGTTTCCTGCAGTACCCAGAGGCTGGTATACAGACTACAATCATAAACTTGCCAGTCCCTTTCACCCTGTACAGTGTCAGTGGCAGCAATGGGGGCGAGGAGAAAAGCCTGAGTCTGAGGCGGACAGGGCAAGCCCCAGTGGTCTATACCTTGTTCTTAAGGATCCCATGGAGGGTAAGACAGCATTGAAGAAGGTCCCCAAACATCAAGAGCAGTCACTCTCTGTGCTACAGTGTGCATTACTGCCAGAAATGAGGACCCAACCAGCAACGTTCCAAAGAAAAGAAGCTTCCACCAGAGTGAATCTGTTATAACCTGCAAGGATGGGGCCCCTGGACTAAGTAGGAAACAGGCCCCCTGCCTCTACGTGAACACCCTGATGCCGCCTCCTCCCTGCTCACTTACACACGCAGCCTGGCTTCTTAGCCGACCACTGGTTATTCTTTTGGCACGTGATTGCCTTCTGCCCCACCAGCTCAAAGGCAGGCTGGCACTCAAACTTGAGTGTATCGCCATGGTGAAAACGGGAGCCTTCCCTCCGGCCATAGGCAGGTATGCCAGGGTCACCGCAACTGCCCTGCTCGATCTCTGAAAGACAAGAAGATGAGAAAACAGAGACAAAGGTGACTTCGTACCTCTCTTGGAGCTGGAGGTCCACATTATGTGCTCTGCTGCCCTTCCACCGTGAGTCACACTCAGAGCGACACTAGCAGGACACAGAGTGCTCTAGATGGCTGGATGTTTTCATTTGGGTGAGGTGGGTATATGTTCTTTGTAGTTACCTGTTCCAGGAGCTAGCAAGTCCCAAAGTTGAGAGACTTCCTTACTGCACTTGACCTGGCATCTGGATTACTAATGTCACTCGATGGCTCTTAAGTACAGTCCCTCCCTGGGCAGCAAAGGCAAGCTTGAGCCGAGAGGCAGCAGAACTTTGCTGCCTGCCTTCATGACAAACCAGAGATTAAGTGAGAATCAATAGTCACTGCCTTCTGATATGGAAGCACTTTCATGAAGATATTTTTTAATTCAATTTGAGACAGCAGCAGGTAAAAGGAAGTAAATGACTCATTAAGTACACTTTTGAGTCAACAGGGCTGTGTCAGACATGAAGTGGGTTCCCCGAGGTAGCTCTGGGGCCTGGGCTCAGCAGGCATAATGGGCTGGCTTCCTCAAGAATGAGTCAATCGGGACCTAGAAGCTTCTGGAATGGTGTCTGTTGTACCTAGAAAGGCTCCACCATGTTGTAGAAAGTATACATATGGGGTATGTCTGCCTGTGTCCCTGCCCACAGCAGCTAGTCTGAGGCTGTGATCGGCTCAAAAGAATAGCGTCCTCAGGGGAAGGAAGGAATCTGCCCAGCCTTCCTGCTGTGCAGACACAGCCCTTCATGCATGCCTGCACCCACTCTATTCTCCTGCCATCAATGCAATCACAAGCATATAATAAGCACCTACTGTGTATCAGTCCCCACCTGTGCTAGACACTTGAGATCTGGATGTGGTCTCTGCTTTCAAGGAGTGAACAGACAGGAAATGGTACTTATGACAAAGGTGATTCATGCTCCTACCTCCAAGGAGCCTCCACTCTTGGTGGGAGGCTTGCAATAATCTGGGAGATGTTTTCATGGCATCCTGGACGGGGCACAGACAGAGGGGATGAAGAGAGGCAGAAAGATTCAGGAAACCCAGGAAAAAGCCATAGGCCATACTGGAAGTGAGGATATAGGAGTGAAAGAAGGGGCAGGGGTCTACAATGCTGAAGGTTTGGGCTGGGCACTTGGGTGTGCTTTCACTGAGACAAGAATGCAGTGGGAGGTGCAGGTCTGAATGGAGGGTCACCACTAGGGCGTGCTGTCTTTAAGGTGCTGGTTGGACCTCCAGGTGGAAAAGTCCAGCAGAAAGTGGCTACATGGGTCTTAAGTTCAGGAGAGAAGTCTAGTCCAGAAATACAGCTCATAGACGGTGACAGAAGCTGTGAGACAGAAGAGACCACCCAAGGAGACTGAGGAGAGGTGTTGGGCCAGGACAAGACAGTTAGGGACATTGTAGGGACCGGCAGAATGCTAGACTAAAATCCTGGGGAGAGCGGGGCCACAGAAACTTAGAGGAGAATGAGTTTTGACAAGGAAAGCCATAGCCACAAATGCTGCAGGGGAGTTAGATCGGGTTGAAAAGCAGGTTAGCGGAAGACGGTCACTGCTGGAGCTGGCTGTAGTAGCTTGACTGTAATGATGAGGACCAACACCCAGTGGAAGACGCAGAAGATGACACAGGAAGAGTGGATGACTTTCAAACAAAGCACTTCTCGGCAGTGAAGGAATAGAGAGAAATTAGGTAGCAACTCATGAGGGGTATGGCCTTGGGGGAGTGGTTAAAAATATTTCTAATATGGGAGAAACTTGAGCCTATTTAAATGCTAGAGAAGAACCACGCGAGGGAGGGAGAATGAGAGAGGCAGAGAGAGAGGGAGAAGTGAACGAAAGACATGGAGGAGAAATGGGCGAGGATGGCATGAGGCTCCAGAGAAGGCAGGAGGCAGGGCCCCCAGAGCACGCTGAGTGCTGGCCTTAGGGACCAGGAGGGACTGTCCTTCCGTCACGACAGCAATGACAAGGGATGAGGTGGTGGCAGTGTTTTCAGGTAGGATGGCAGGATGTTGAGGGAGATCCTGTGATGGCTCAGGCTCTATTTTCTAAGTGGAAGAGCAAGAGGTCACGGTCTTTGCTGAAGGTGAGGGGCCAGGTGCGGGGAAAGAATTTGATGTGGACAGGAACGTCTGAGGCAGTCCCTCTGGAAGAGAGGAGGTTGTGGCTAGATGAAGCGCCATGCACCTCTGGGCCCAGCAGGGGTGGAGAGGACTCATTTGTAGGGGCACCACCTGGCAGAGCCGTGTGACTTGTCCTAGCAGCCCTTAGTAACTGCAGAGTTGGAGACGGGGCAGCACGATTGATTAAGAGGTGGGGTGGGTTGGAGAAACAGAGGACACTGGGGCAAAGGAGGAGAGGATATTGTTAAAAGAATGGCTGGAGCGCTCTCCCAGGGGCTCAGGCAAAGGAAGGAAAGAAGTGAAGAGCATGGGGGGTGGTCAAGGAAAGGATGATGAACAGGAGCAGAGGGAGTGACAAGTGAAAGGGCTGTGGGGACCAAGGGCCCCAGAGCAGGATGTGTGAGTTTGAGATTTCAAGGCTGCTGCAGCCAGAGTGCAGTGGGCTGAGGAAGTGAGAAGGCCAAGGCCTGAGAGACGGGGCGATGGCACGGCTGGGGTGGAGAGGAAGAGGGTGGAATGGCATTGGGGTGAGCACCCGAGTCCACCCGTCACATGCTCACCAAGTGTGGGAAGTGAGCGCTGGCACCGGAGAGGGCTACTGGTAATGGTGACCTCAAGGGAAAGTCAGGTTCAAGGCAGCATTTGGCAAAGTGGTCCAAGGGGGATGTGTTGACGAGGGAACCAAGAGTGGGTGGAGGGGAGAGGATGAACACAGCAGCGTGGGGTGAGAGTTCGGGAGCTACTTCCAGGAAGGCAGAGGGGGTGGGTGGCTGGCTTTGTCCTGGCCTGGGCTTTCCATCCCAGGAGGGAACCAAGAGTGGGTGGAGGGGAGAGGATGAACACAGCAGCGTGGGGTGAGAGTTCGGGAGCTCCTTCCAGGAAGGCAGAGGGGGTGGGTGGCTGGCTTTGTCCTGGCCTGGGCTTTCCATCCCAGCTGAGTCAATTCCTGCTGGGAACACAGGGAACAAGGCCCCTGTCTTCCTGCGGACACTGCCTGTGCTCCCCCGCCCTGCCTGAAAGGCTCTCGACCTTGCCCTCCTGGTCAGGTGCTGACCAAGTCTGATTCAGGACCCAGAATTGCCAAATTTTGACTTGGAGAAAAATCATGCATGTGATTTCTTGTTATCTGGTTTAATATAATTCCATTGTAGAAGGGTTTCCTCTTCTTTCCCTCTCTCTCTCCTTTTGCCTGTGGAAAGCAAGCTGGCCAGCATGGGATGACTGCTTCTAAGATGCCTCAGAATCCCATCACCACCAGGCTGTGCCGCTCAGCGAATTTGCTGTCCCCTTTCCCAGCTGCTTTATGCTTATCATCTGTGACCAACCTCACTGTCGTCTCCCCAGGTTTTCCATCTTCTAATACCAAATTGGAATCCTCTTTTATGGCAATGTCTGTGCAATAAGCAACCACATCATGTGTCTCTATAAATTCGCGGACTGTTTGATGTGCTCCAAGAAGGGAAGCCCCTCTTCGGGGGGATGGGGGGGTCCAAGCTTGTGTCACCTTTGCAGCCTTTCCACATGGGTGGGAGCTGGCTTGCTCCATCCCTTGTTCCTTGTTCCCTCAGCCCATGCTGTGGCCTCCTGTCCTCCCCTTTCATACAGCCGACTCCTCAATGCTATAGATTTTAGCTCAAAACATCATCTCCTCCAAGACGCTTTCCCTGTCCATGCATCTCAGCTATTTCCCTTTTTCTTTTCTCTCTTGGTGCCCTGTTTTTCTCCATCATAGCACTGATTGTAAGTATTCACCTCTTCAACAAGAACGTTCTGGGTTACTGTTGCAGATGTCGGGGGTGTAGTGATAAAATAAGGGGCACAATCTGTGCCCCTGGAGCTGACTGTCTGGGCGGGCATCAGGGATGGCTGATTCATCAGCTCGGCCCCCGGCTCCCAGCTGGCTGCTGGTTGACCTTCTTGTTTCTGTTTCCCCACCCGCCGGAATGGAAGCCCTGTGGGGCAGGCATTGGCTGTGTGTTGTTGATCACCATGTTCCTGTCACTTAGCGTGGTGTCTGGAACACAGCAAATGTTCAGTTTAGTGCATGAGATCAGTTAACATTTATTGCATAGAAACTGTACCAAGTGCCAGACTAAGCACTGAAGATACAGAGCTGCCTGACCCACGGCCCTGCCCTTGGAGAACTCGGTCATGTGGGTATGGAAATAATTCCAGTGCAAATGATGAGGGCAACTGAAGAAGTGTAGACCTGACCACACAGCCTATGGGCAGCTCCAAACCAGAAACCTGAGAATCAGCCTGGATTCTGCCCTTTCCCTGCCCTCCCTCAGCTCTCACTAGCCCACTCACGTTGGCTTCCCTCCTAAAAATCCCAGCACCCTCTGCCCTCCACCCCTTCCTCACTGCCTGAGCTCGGCCCTGGCAATTTCTCTCCTGGATGGCAGGAGTGGCCTGGTGCTTCTCCTGCCTCGTCCCTCTTCCATACTCTCCAAGGCAGTGTAAGATCATCCAGGAAAAACATCTGCTCTCCCCTCCGTCCCCTGCTCATGATTCATTCATGGCTTCCTAAAATCCACAGATTAAAACCCCAACTCCGCAGCATGGCGGGAGCCTCGCTTGTCCCCAACCACCCCAGCCTCCTCTTTGGTCATCGCCAGCCCTGAGATTTAAATACCACAAAACTGAGCGATCTGGAGGGAGGAGGAATGGTGCGATGCTGATGAGCAGAGGCTCTGATGTCACGAAGTCCTGGGTCTAAATCCTGGCTCTAACACTAAGTCATAGACCCTGGGCATATAACTTATCTTCTCTGAGCCTTAGTTTTGTCATCTGTGAAATGGAAATGGTAGTAATAACAAGGT